ACCATGCCCCCCTCCCCCGTTTCAATGGCAGCCGAAGCAGCAGCAAAGCAGAGGCTGACAGACAGTACCTTGAGCAAGTATTACTAATCTTGCTACCTTAGCTTTTCTAGATAACACACGTCACTTTCTTCAGTCTGATATTAACTAGGAATTAACCAAAATTGTTTACAAATAAGTTTGCCCTATGTTTCTCCCCTGAGCTTATATGACTAATTAATCTATGCTGATGATTTTAATCAAGTTGTTACTGTCACAAAATCAAGGGCAAATTAAACACAATTTATGCCACTTTAAACACTCACAACTTCTCAAACAGCAACTTATTTAAACAAGAGAAAGGTACCAGAATAAGCAATGTGGTAATAACTTTCTCTGAGTTTAAAAGAGATGAAAGTGATTCCCTGCCCCCCCTCCCCAGTTTTGTTCTCAAGTAGCTTTTTTGATGCTTTAATGAACGGAGTGGCTGTATATGTCTACTTTCTTACTGTATGTAATTCACAGTAGACAGCATCATCCGTGTCCTCTGACAGTATAGGGTCCTTGATAAAGTTTGCAGTCACCCTTAAGATGAAAGAAGCAAAAAGCTGTATGTGGATGTAATTCCTTGTACAGTGGAGTCTCCTATTCAAAAGGAAAAAAACCAGGCATTATGCAGGATTAGAATAGGTATTCTGATCAGCCACATGAAGGTTTAGGAAAAAGAGATCATTACTTTTTTTTAATATATTCATAAACATTTTGAATACAGTATATTGTCAGGGCATATCATTTACAAAACAGCAAAGAAAGAAGAATTGTTACTATTGTTTATACTGCTTGGAATAATTTGCTTTAATCTGCAGCAGGCTTTTCAAGATCTCAGCCAGACGTCTTTCCAAGTCTTCCTGCCTGAACCGATTCATTAATGGCACTGGGGACTACATGTAAGGGAGAACATATTGCCTAGATCCCAATTATATGCCAAGATGAGCACATTGCCACTCTAGCTTAATATTTAATGTTGATTAAACATTCAATCGATATGCTGATTAAATTTAAAATGTTGATTTTCAATGCTGGACGCCTCCTAGAGTCACTCTGTGCGAGTCAGGCAGCCATAAAAATCTACTTAATTAAATAAAAAAAATTGTATGGATTTATCAGATGGCTTATTCCTGAGGGTAAAAACTCAAATGAATTCAGCTGGACTAGGGTGAGTTCACAGACACATACATATACCATATTTTTCAGAGTATAAGGACACACTTCCCTCCCTCCTAAAAGAGGCTGAAAATTTGGGTGGGTCTTATACTCCAAAAGTAGCTTTTTCGAAGTTTTTTCTCAGCCCTAAAGAGGTGCTAAAGAGTGAAGTGATCTTCCGTGCTTTGCCTGCTTTTCTCATTGCTTCTCTCTCCAACGATCAGCCCTGCTTTAGAAGCTGTTTTTTAATCCCCAACCAGGGGATAAAAAGCATGTGCACGTGCGCTGAAAACCAGCAAACTTATGCACTGAAGCTGACCAGACTAAGGACGCTAGCCAGATGAATACCTGGTAGACAGATTTTTTTTTCCTATTTTCCTCCCAAAAAACTAAGGTGCGTCTTATACTCCGTAAAATACAGTTTGCCACTGCCTACTTTCAGGATTTTTTTAAAAAAAAAACCAATTTCCCAATTTAGCCCTGGAATTTTCTGGCAGTGTCACAGCCAAGTACTCTTTGAACCGCAACCCTTTTTGAGATCATATGAGCTCTGCTACATCCTGCAATCTAGTTGGGCATCTGTATGGTAAAACTGAGAACTGTAAAATATGTTACTTTCTTGCACAAGGGAAACATGGTATAAAAATACAGAATCCACTCAACAAGTTAAATGCAGTATCATACGATCAAGTAAAAGCAGATGAAGCAGTATGATGGCACATTCTGAACCTATCATGGGAAAGCATTGCCAGATCTCTGATTCTCATCATTTCTCCACTCCCAACCTCACCAATAAATGGAACAGGATTCACAGTATCTCAGTGTTTCACATCATTTAATACACAGAGGCATATTCATGTGGGCTATTAAACGATAAACAAAAGAAAGGGAAGAAATATATGGATAATTCTTCCTCACCGAAAAGAAGCTAAAATGCCCAAGGCTGCTGCCAGAGCTATGAGGGAGATGCTGCTTCCAACAGTGTACACGGTCTCCAATTTCATTAGAAAAGATACCTGTAAGAAGACATCCAAGGATAATTTTTTTCAGATAGGAGTTATATTCATGCAAGCAGCTTTTCAATGTTGCTTTTAAAAAAAACAATCATAGTAATGTAACTTTTATTTAACTGAATTGAGGCAAATGACTTTCTCTGCAAATTCTCTGGCAGAACTCAGCTTGATTGAAAATATGGGAGGAACAAAACGAAGAAATATCCCCAGCCAGGTGTATAATTCCTTTTAGCATATGTAAATCAGGAGTGGAATATACATATTACACTAGACCAGAATCATATATCTGTTGTTGCATTACGTGAATTAGATGTTGACTTTGAGGCAGATGCGATATTCAGCAGGTTCTGACCACTTCTGGAGCACCAGTAATGGAAATTTTGAGTAGTTCGGAGCAGTGGTGGGTTGCTCTTACTGTCGCTACCGGTACGCTACTCACGGGGCCACACGTCCTGTTTGTGCACACACGCTGCACATGCATGCACAATCTACCACACTTGAGACACCCAGTTGCTCGTTGGGGCTTGCGCAAGTGCCACATGCTGTGCACATGTGCGCAATTGGCTGGTTGCTTTAAAAACAGGTATAGAAAGTGGGCAGGGGGGCCAAACAAGCCACTGTACCTGTACACTGTCGCTGCTCCCAGCTAGTACCGGTACGGCCGGACCGGGAAGAACCCACCACTGGTTCGGAGAACCGGTAAATGTTACCTCTGACTTGCCCTGCCCCATCTATTCTCTGCCTCCCGAGTCCCAGCTGATCGGGAGGAAATGGGGATTTTGCAGTCATCTTCCCCTGGAGTGCGGTGGGAATGGAGATTTTACAGTATCCTTCCCCTGCTANTTGAGCTACCAACCAGCCCCAAAGGCTGTGAATCTCACCAAAGATTAACCACATAATAATAATAGCCCATTTAATATTGGCTGATGCTAACAGGGTAGGTTCATCCCCTCCTATAGTTTTATGATGTACACTTGACATTTAACCTTCTACCAAGAATTGCAGTTCTCTGTCACTTAGCTGGATCTCTAATTCCTGTTCTATTCTCTGCTCCTAATAACAGATGAGCATAAAAACAGGTGCCTTAAATAGAAACATTGATAGGTTTATCACTCTTCACTATAATGGGGCAATCATCCTTGAGGCAGTTTTCTAGACAGATCCATGGCATGCAAGCAAAGAAAACCTTCGCCCCCTGGTCATTTTGTTTGCTGTTGGTTGTTTATTTGTGAGGCTGTTTAAAGAAGCCTTCTTACTTGTATTGACTGGAGTCCTTGCCTCTTCCATCTGGCCATCGCAGTTTGCTCATCAGAATCCTTACAATATTAACAAATAGAATGAAATTGATCTACAAAACAAGGAAGCACAAGTGAGATGGAGGTAGTTCTTCACTATACTCATCCCATTCCTCCACCAGCATTTTATTACATCTTCTAGGATCACCCAGCCATTGTTGAGCGTACAAGCTTTATCCTAGGTGACACTAATAATCTCAGCACCACAACATACATCGCTATAACTTGGTAGTGGGGAAATAGTTTATCTGGGAAATTACTGTGAAGTAGACTTACTGCAATAGAAGCCACCACCGGGCCTTGAATGAGCCACAGGGCATATGTAAGATGCATATCCCAGCACCTGTAAAAACAACAAACAAACAAACTTGCAATTGTTGAATGAGTAAAAGGGTCTCATTTAGAAAAGCCGGTGGATGAACATCCTAGAAAACTCTGTTCTGAAATAAATATTTCATGGAAGGATGTAACCATCAGGTATTTCTTACTATCTGTCTATAGAAATTTACAGCAGGCACATATAATTATTAGAAAATTCAAGAGGGCACATTGGGAGGGTGAAGCAGAGGGACAGTCTTGTTTGTACTAGAGAGTTTGGTTCTAAGGGAGATTTGAAAGGCAGATGAACTCAGGAAGTTGCAGTGATGCAGCAAAGCAAGTTTTTACACTACCCAAGGTTTTCACTTTTCTGTTGCTTGGTAGAACTGAAGGCTGGTTCACACAGGCACACGTACAGGTATGTCACAATTAGTATGAATCGAAAATTATAAATGGATACCAGGTTGCATTTAATGAAAGTCAACATTCAGTTAATGTAAGACTGGTGGCCACACCATTGCCATTAGGGTTTTTGATGCTAATTGTTGTGTACAGAACAAGAAAAGGAGATGTTCTGTTTGGGGAAAGTTCAAAAAAGAAGGGGCTCATTTTGGAAAACCAGAGCAGAATATAGGAGATAGCTTTGGATATGGGCTTAGACTCTAGCTTAGCTTTTGTCCACTTGATTTATTTATTTTTAATATTTAAGGGGATTATTGATCTACAACATAGATAGGAATGATATTTAGTAACCTTGTTAAAGTTTGTTACCCTATTTTGGCTAGGTTTAAGCTGGAACCAATTACCCTGTTTTCCATAGAAATATCACTTTGAAAAGTGTGAATTCGAATAATGCAACCATTTTTTGTTTTCCATGATCAGCATTAATTGAGACCAACCTGTAGTTACCCCCTTGATTGTTGTGACACCAGAATATGTTACTTTGGATGGCCAAAGTAACCAAACACTAGTGGCAGAATTTTACCATCAAGCAAAGTAGAGTACTTATCAATGAACTCAATTCATAAATCCCTCACACACACCATCTTGGGTAATTAGATTTCCACAGAAAAGATTTTTATTTGTAACTTTTTTTCCCAGCATGATGCCACACTCCTTTATTGTACCTTATGGGACTGTTGTGAGAACAGAGGGAAATTCTTTACATATACCTCCTCCTCTGCCCAAGAACCTATATCTCCCGTGAGATTGTTTTCCAAACTTTCTGGAGCCCTAAAAAAGGTAAATTATGTGTCCTGATTTGATCATAAAAACTTAAGCTAAAACAGCTCTTGGGGGAAAATAACTTTGAAGGACTTGCCAAAATGCAATTTCTTTTATTTCATTTGCTACATTTGATTCATTTCCCAATTTCTGAACTGGAATGCAGCCTCCTTTGAATATGAGCATTGCAAAATCTCACCCTATTGGATGGAAAATTCTCCAAACCAAAAAACATAATGGCATGCATTGCAGTACACTGATCATGTTTTAACAGCCAGTTTAGTGTAGAAGTTAAGGCATCTGGTGGAAGACAATGAGGTCTTGTCTCACACTTTTTAGGCACAAAGCCAGCTGGGTAAACCTGGGCCAGTCCCTCTTTCACAGTCCTAGGAAGGAAGCAAAAGGCAAATCACTTCTGAAAAACCTTGCCAAGAAAATTGTAGGGACTTGTCCAAGCAATGTCCCAGAGTCTGCGCTGACTCGAAGGCACAAAGTAAATGTATAGATCATATTTTAAGGGATTTAACTGCCATTTTTGCTAAAAGAAAATAAAATAGCTGGTTTTTTTTAAAAAAGTCTGTATTTTTATTTTATCATGCTAAGAAATGCAAATAATAACTGCTACACCTGTAATTATAGTGCAAAAAACTCCTGAAAATGTCATGTTCTCACAGAACAGTTCTAAGTGACTATAATGAACTCTATATAATCTGTTGATTCAGCTAAGGTCTCCTGCTAGCCCTGATAGCTAAATAACCCATTGAGAGCATTGCCAAATTGTGCTGCATGTTGTCAGTCCAAAATATGTGCCATGCTATCATTTGGTGTATTGCTTCTTCAAAAACTCAGGCTAAAAATCTGGGTTGATGTGTTTGGCAACAAGAAGACGGGATCTCGGCATCTGATGAAATGCTAAATAATGTTGAATCTGTTTAGCCGAGCAGAAGGATCCAAATGGAGCCAAATAACCGATTGCTTGTGCCTGGGTAGCTAGATTAATCCAAACAGAGGGTAAGATCACTATCACTGAAATAAACTTGTTATTTTACTTCATTAATAAAAGTGAGTTCCAGGACAAGTAGCTAGCAGCAGAAAACATATCTCCCTGTGGTATCTATTCAACAGATATGAAAATGCTTTGAAACCGGATTAACTTGAACATTATCCATCATTAAGAGGGATGGGAGCTGTCTTTTTGTAAAAGGTGAATTCTTAAATGAGAATTCTAGGGATTTAGACAAATGTTGTAGCCTTGTTGTAAGCTGCCCAGCATTGCCTTGAACTGGGAGGTGCACAGCATATAAATTTCATAATAAATAAATAAAATAAATGGCAGTTACTCTGTCCAACCATGGAACGTGGAACCCACTTCTTTCTGTCTCCTTTCCTTTCCTTTCCTTTCCTTTCCTTTCTTTTCCTTTCCTTTCCTTTCCTTTCTAATCAGTCTGTATATTCCAACAGCACTTCTACAAAATTGCCACTCCTTTCTACAAAAGTATGTTTAAAAGGCCAGTTTGGTATAACTGCACAAAGCCCATGCTTCTCCTCTATCTCACAAAGCACTCTTGTTTGTTTCCAAAATAATTATCAAATTGTCATGCTCAGAACCCATCAGAGAGAAGCAGATATGATATTCAGAAAGTGGAATATAAGAGCTGGGTTTTTTTAAATTAAGGGCTCATCTCTCTAACCGAATAGCAAAATTCCTTTCTTTTCTCAGAATCTCTGAGCACTTCACAAACAAACAAAAAAACCAGATTTTAAACCAATAACTACTCATACTGTGGATTGAGGAGAAACATGAATACATACCCTGTTTCCCCTTATTTTCTTTGGACCCCTGAAATAAGCGCTTGGTCTTATTTTCAGGGAGGTCTTATTATTTTTGAGGTGCAGGAGGTGGTGAGCATAGTCACCTCATGGCTGCTACTGTGTTACAATATTTTAAGGGAGGGCTTATTTTTGGAGAAGGGCTTATTTTAGTGCATGCGCTCAAAAGCCTGATTGGGCTTATTATCTGGGGCAGTCTTATTTTGGGGAAAACAGGATAATGTTTACACTCAGCCATAATATGTGATTTGTTTAGTTTTGGCAAACCAACATGAACCCTGTCATTCTATAACTTAAAAAAGAGTTCTGCTGCAAAACAGTCAAACCCTAAAACCAATTCTAGGTATCACAAAATAGATGGTTTCAAATATTACAGAAGTGATCCAGAAGCTGTTCTGGACAAATTCGGGCTTATTTTGAGGATAGATCACTTCCAGAATATCCAGAGCCATTTTTTTCAGGATCAAAACATTACTTGATGGCACATTTTTCACACTTGCGATACTTTAGTATTCTGCTTTATTCAGTAAATCACAGTTGGACCCAACCATGTCTTAGCATGATTTGCAAACAGACTACTGAGTTTGGAAAATGTGCTTACCCAGCATTTTCATGTAATAGTCTGGCTATGACCCATGCAATTACAAATAACTTTGGAGCACCTGCAACAGAGAAAACAATTCCGTGGTTAGTGCCTATTCTTAATGTAGAAGAAAAGTTAGCTTAGGTTAGCTGAACATTTTGAATAACAATAACAAAGTCTAATAACCTTATGAAAAGGAAAAATGGATCTGCCTAAAAATAAAAGAAGGATGGACCCAACACACCTAACAAAAAGCTGAAGTGCACAGAAATACATAGCCTTTCAAAACATCCTTACCCATGAAGACAATTTTCCTGCTTTCACAGCTGAGTGTTGCACAAACAATAAGGGTGATGGGTAAAGGTGATGGGAATTACAATCCAACATTCCTCTATAGCATCATATTTGGAGGGAATGATGTATACCTGTTTGCAGGTTCATATTCAGTTATATAAGTGGCAAGAGCTTGGGCATAAATCTCATTCCCCCCTCCCCCAAGCACAGGAAAAGAGATGGAAGAGGACAAAAAAGTCCAGGACAAAGAAGAAGAGCAAAGAGGTGAAGAAGAGGAACAAACCAGAAGCAAAACAAAAAGGGGAAAAAGTGACCCAAAAGCAATGTAGGGGAGAGGGAAACTAAGAGACCACTGCCACGAAGTAGGCAAGGGGAGTAAGTTGAGGCTCTGCAATAGGTCACTGAACATCCCCAGACAACATGCTTGCCTGGTAATTATGTAGATGCTTACCCCATCCCAGAGCCACAAACCACCAGAAGAACTTTCGGTCGGAGAAGAAAGAAATGGCCAGCAGGCTGTGGAGATAAAGTCCTTCTACAAGAAGCCAACTATAATTTGCCATGATGCAGAAGTTAACAAAGGCTATGATCATCTTGCATCTGCCCTGAAGAGGAAACAAGAAATATTATAAATAAGGTGTTTTATTTATTTCCGTTTTATCTTCTTTCCAGAGAACCTGTACCCCATTGCACTTTATTTATCAGTGGTCTATCAGTTCCCTAATCTCAATACCTTAGAAGAACCATACTAGATCAGACCGTCTGCATTCTGGCATTCTGTTATCATAGCAGAAGCATAAAAGCACGTCATAATTCTGATGAAATATGAAAATCACCACCAGAGTGTTCCAGAAGTCCTCATAAGGTAAAGGTAAAGGTTCTCCTCACACATACTGTATGTGCTAGTCTTCGTGACTCTAGGGGGTAGTGCTCATCTCTGTTTCAAAGCCAAAGAGCCAGTGCTGTCTGAAGACGTCTCCGTGGTCATGTGGTTGGCATGACTAAATGTTGAAGACGCATGGAACACTGTTACCTTCCCACCAAAGGTGGTTCCTATTTTTCTACTTGCATTTTTACATTTGCATTTGCATTTGCTTTTGAACTGCTAGCTTGGCAGAAGCTGGGACAAGTAACAGGAGCTCACCCCGTTACGCAGCACTAGGGATTCAAACCACCAAACTGCTGACCTTTCCATTGGCAAGCTGAGCGTCTTAGCCACTGAGCCACCACATTCCTTGATGTCCTCATACTGGATGAATATTTTACTGCATACTTTTATATTCATTTCCTAAGAGCTCTTAACATGGGATTTTTATTTTTCCACCAGCTATGGGCTAGTGTAG